AACTAGCTCGATTTTGCGGGCGTAATATGGTGCGGAGACAATGCGTAGCAAGCATGCTTTCGAGAGCGGATATCCCTTTCGACACACCGTAAAAAGAAGTGGACTGTCAATGCAAACTGACGCGACCCAATGACCCACGAAATCTTTCAAAGGAGCAAAAAAAAATGAAAGGAAGAATAATATTCCCCTAAAGACGAAGTGGATCGAAAGTGTTCGTGGAGTGCAGTCTACGCCTTGCTTCACAACTACTCCTTGGGCAGGGTAGGGTTTACTTATTCTGATGAATGAGAAAACGTTGTTAGGATGTCTCGTGTCCACTTGATCGTTGCGAAACTGGACCGATGCGTCAGGTTATAAGAACAGTGGCTGTCGAATCTATTGAATAGGAGCGACCACTGATGAAATTCAGTGAGTTGCTCAGCCGTGGTCCTTCAGCTGTCGTCCATTTCAAGAGGTTTGCTTTATTTGCAAGAATGGAATTCTGCTCTCAGGTCTTTTTTACCAGCACTTCAAGATGGTAGTGATGTGATGCGTGAGGTTTATGAAGAGGCGTGCAAAAATCCAATAATTCAACATCTCATGCATTCGGCATCTGCACGCTGCGGACGCGTCGAAGAGCAACTCAGTTTTTAGGCTTTGTTGCCATTTGAAATTGACCAAATTCGTGAATCACTCAATTCCAGCGAACGCTTTTCACTTTCCGAAAGTGTGACTTAAAGGCACGAGCTGCGATTCAATTGCAGTATATTCTGTATGACGATAAAACAAATGGTGAAGAGCAGAGCTGTCAGAGAGGAAAAAAGCACCATAGAACTCTCAGAACTAATTCAGAATTGCAGAATTTGAAAAAATGATCGTTAAACGCAGAACCTCTTTTCCACGTAATGTCGACCGTGATGCGAGGGAAAGACTAGTACGAGACAATGAGAGACCATACGGCACGACAACAAGAGGCGAGAGAGCAAAGGGTACGAGAGTGCGTGGACATTGTGTGTGCTGCGAATGAGTAAAAATGGCAGCTGTCGCAGTCGTCAATGCAAGGCCTTAGCGTCCTTGTCACGTATTTCGCGATAGTCTCACGAGCCCTCTGCTTAGAAACGCCCTTATACCACTACTCACGGAGCGAATTTCTCTAATAGATTAAAGGCAAGCCTCGGGATAAAAAGGGTGTGGAAGAGCGTTCAGTAATGAGGCTGGAGGTGAAGAGTGATCTGGAAAAGAAGAACAAAACAAGAGAAACTCCCAATAATGCCCCGACCAGGGATTTGCTCATTTTTCCTCGAGATAGAGAAGGGGGCGTTGTACGAGTTTAACGAACCAGGCTACAGTTGCTCCACTGACAATGACATCAGTGGAACCGCTGCCGCAAGTGCGCCCGCGCTTCTCAAGCAGCGTCACGTGGCAAACAACAGGGCGGGGCTTGCGGACGAAGGAGTGGATTGCGGGTTGACGAGCTTCCTTGCGCCTTTGTCGCGCACTTTCAAGCCGCAAAAGGGGCGCGACATCACAGCTTGTCCGCCTGTCTACTACGCCCGGGATGGAACAGGCGAGCTTGCCTATTCCGGAGCGTGCCTTTAATCGCGACTCATGCCTTCTAGAGGGTTTAAACTTTCATCACACCACAGCCTGTAGAGAACGTTCTAGAATGGGGATCAGGGGAAGTTGGTAAGCTTCTCTAGGGGATCGTAAACAGTAGTACTAAACTCATGAAATATTCTAATGGTAGCCAAACGGGGCCTACTTCATTGAGATTGGATAATAGGTTGACCGAGAAAATGCAACCTTAAAGAATGAGGAAAGGCAGCGATAGCTTCCTACTGGTGGATCCAAGTAGGAGTCAAGCTCTACTGAGAGGGCCACTCTTAAGTATTACAACACAGTAGTATAACACAAGGAAAGACGTTTTTGCCCGGTTTGGAAAGTTGGCGTCGTATGCCAGCTTCATTAATTGATTCATGTTGAGGGTAATCGTGTTGCTTAAAGCTTTTGTAATTTGATGGGCGCCATTAGCTTTTGTAGTCTGAAATTGGTTGGACGGCTTATT